CTGTGGCTGCTCCTGGTGCCAGCGCTCTGGAGCCAGCTTCCTACCAGGAAGTGACTGAGGAGAACCCTGGGCAGGGAGGCGTCCACACGGGGTCTCTGAAGTTCTGGGGCTTTGTCACGGTAAAGTAAAGACTACTGCTTTCTGTCAGTGACGCGGCAAGGACACAATTGTTTTGCATTGGCCTTGATCTCCCTCATCCTTTTGTGTTAATCTGCACACTAAAAGTAAGTTGGAATTAATATACCCTGGCAAACACACTCATTCTAAGTTTGCAAAACCTTCAAGTGAGAACATTTGAATACATATCACAAAGGCCCATTTTCTCTGGGAGACATCATTGCCAGGGTGAAGGGCAGATAAACACATCCTTAAGTAAGAGGTATAGTCACAAAAGTCCCAAGCTGCAGTAATAAAGAGATTCTGAGATTATTACTGTGTTTGGGGAATGAATTGCTCTTGTCTGAAGCATGGGGAGGTCGTGGGTGTTTTTAATTTAATGGATTAATCATTTACATCTGACGTTCTTGCTCCTTCCTATAAGAGCAATACGGAAGGTTTGCAGGACATTACAAATCATGTCAGTGCTTGGGCCTCATCTCTGGGAGGCCTGGCTATGGTAAATTAGTAATAATTTGGGGGGGAAATTAGCTCCCTACAAGGACTCCCTTTAGGTAACCAGGTCAGGGCCGAGTCATGGAAGGGGACATCCCCTCCAGAAGATGGTGGCTCAGTCTGTATATGAAATCCTACCCCCACCACCAAGGAGCCGGAGTGAGGCAGCTCCAGGGGAAGGAAGCCTCTGTTATCCCTGGCTTGGCAATTTTCTCTGGGTCTTTATTTTTCCATCTGTGTGATGGGATGGAAGATCTGTGAGGGCCGTCCGCTATGACCCCCTGTGTCTGCTGACTATTATTAAATGGGTCCTGAGATAAATCCGCAAGTCCCTTTGACTTTGTCTTGTGTCCCATGCCAGGCGTTCTCCAGGCGTTTTACACATACGAGACCAGCAGGCCTGTGGACAGGTACTATCATCACTCCCATTTTACAGGTGATTGACTTAGTTGCCTAAGACTGTATGTTGAGAAAGTAACAGCCTTGCACTAGGACTTGACCTCAGGTCTCAGAGTTCACCCTTTGTCACAGGTGCTGCCACCCAGAGTGGAACAGCCCAGCCTGGTCCCAGGTAGTGTGTCTTTGTCTCTTGGGCCCACAGGTGGTGCCAACTCTCCAGCATCTCTGCTGTTCACACCCAGTCTTCTGAGTGCCTCAGAGAAGCAGGCAGGTGGCCAAGCCTCTCTCCTCTATTCCTCAATTCTCACTCCCCATCTTCCCTCTCATGAGGAGAAAGTAGTTGGAGGGAATGGGGACACAGAACATTGTTCTCTGAATGCATGCCCGGTGCATTGCCTTAGCTCAGCAAGCCACACAGGGGACCAAATGGGACCTCCAACAGAACAGCTGGGTAACTGGACTGAATCTCACCCAGCCACTCAGGGTCATCTTTCATGCCTCCACCCCAAGCTTGGGATGGGTGTTGAAAAGGAATGAATCACACAGATGAATGTCACTGCCTTTGTCTCACTCCTTGCTCACAAGACTCCTCAGCAAGGTTGCAAGCCTCCTGTCCTGAGCACCACCAGGGCCTCTGAGCCTCTCAGCTCTCCCTGCCTGAAGGTGCCCTTCTTTGGCACCAAGCTGCAGCCTGCAAAGCTCCCTATGCCCACCTCTAGGCCTCCTGCATGACCTCCCCTCCCCTGACCCAGACCTCTGAGCAGCATCAGAAGTGTGCACAGTGATTCTCTGAGCCTCCTGGGGAGCTGGGTGACACCAAGACTTGGGGTTCACCAGCTTCAGTCCTGCAAGGGCAGGTGTTGGGCCTCAGATTCCCTGCTGTTGCTTCTTCCTCAGACTCTGCTGGGGCACTGCTTCTGAGAAGACCAGAGCTCTGCACTAAGCACACACACACAAGATGCAGGGCTTCTGTCCTCTGTCACTTCAAAGCATACAGCACAGAGCAACCCAGTGAAGACCTGCCGACAGCCCACCTCGACCCCATGTCTGCATTCTCCACTGGCACCAGCACAATGTTCCTGCAGGGTGGCATGGAGTCTAGGTGTCAAGTCAAGATCTGCTCTGCTGTCACTGACTGTGGGGGGAGTCAGTGCAAATCATCTAATCTCCCTGAGCCCCAGTGTCTTCGAGGGTCTGCAAGACAGGGACGGTGCATAGTAGGAATTCATAGTAAATGTTGTAACTGTGTCTTTGAGACCATCCAGTTTTCAGCTTCCTCCCACAGAGATACAGCATCAATCCCTCTAAGTCTAACTCAGCAAGTTTAACCTCTGGAATATTTGGAAAACTTCCTTTTTCCAGGGTCAGCAAGCCATGGCCTCATATCCTTAGGAGGTAACCACAGTCCTACTTTAGCACAGGTGATCCCACAAGGGAACTGGCTACTAGGTGTGAGTGCCACCTGAGTGCCTGGAAGGAAGCCACACCCAGGGCCCTCATGGCCTTCTGAAGGTACAGCCCTCCTAAGGGCGTAGCCTAGCCAGGAGAAGGCACATGGCAGCTGAAGTAATGAAGTAGAAAACTGATCACAAAGTATTGAGATCCCAGCACATCCTCCCACGCTGTTGACAGTCCTTTGGTTGGCGGAGAAGTCTTAATGTCTCAGCAATTAGGGAATCCAGTGGCCTCTCTCTGGATTTCAGCAGGGAGGTTCTGCTTTTTGTTTAGACTCCCAGAGCTCAGAGCAGCCTCTTCAGTTGAGACCAGGTAATGGGGATGGCTGGAGAAGGCTCTGCACAGAAGTCTCCAGCACCAGGGAAGCAGTCCACTTCCCATGCCGGTGTGTGGGGGGAACAAGTCTAAGCCCAGCTTTATGCGTGGCTCTGGGCCTTGCTCCTGACTCAGTGCTAGGATTGAGGACCTGGCTCCACCCACATCATGAGTTTGGTCTCAGAATTCCAGGTCCCTTGGGGCCGAAGGGTCCTCCCCGCACCATTGACTTCCCACTTCATTTATTACACAGAATTTAAGTGCACAGAGTGTCCAAGCAGACATCTCTTGCTCTCACTTGTGAGGAACTCAGATTCCTGGACAGGTGGCTCCCCACCCTCTTCACATTCACTTTAAAAAAAAAAAAGGGAGGTAAGACTCAAACCGTCATCTTGTGCCCTCGGTTCTTGTGAAGTGGAGGCAGGATGGAGGAGTCTTGGAATATCAGTAAATTGCACTTTCTCAGGCTTGTCTGAGATCTGAGGGGCCCTTATAAACCACGTGGCATTGTTTTGCCATCAAACCTTCAGCACCGTCAGTCTCTGGTCACCACTTCCTGTGTGTCAAATGGTAAAGCTTTCTTCAGACTGAACCAGCCCGCTGGGAGAGTGGCCAACACTGCCACCTGCTGCACAGCAAACTGGCCCTGAATGCCAGCCTGGGGTGGCTCTCCCAGGGGGTGTAATAACTAGGAATGTTTGGGTTACTTCATCATAGGCCAACCAGCACAGCCATAGAACCTCAAAGGATTAAGTATGTCCCAGTTCAAGGGAAATAACTAAGACATAATTACGACACACGAATACAAAAATTCCTAAAGCATCCTTTGGAGTAAACACAAAGGCAAGCTAAGCCCACCCAGTTGTCCTTAAATGGCTTGTGACCCTGAACCTGGAGATCAGTGGAGTGTACCTCATGTCATCATTTTTCACTTCTTGCTCACTTTACCCTGAGAGGAGTTCTAAACACCAGTTGGCACAAAGAACCCAGGGCTGGCTTGGAGTTTTCACACTGTTCCCTGATGCAGGGAGGACCCTGCTCCCGGCCTGATCAGTGACAGCTGGGATGGGCTGGATGAGGCTAATTTCCCTGGGTGCTGACCTACCGTAGAACTGTGCACAGACTGTGGCTTGTTTTGATGGCTGGGCAGCCAGGCTGAAGCAGCTAGCAGTGTGACGCAGACGGCAGAGGGCGGGCTCTGGCTCTAGACAACTCTTTTTATTATTATTATAATAAATTTTTATTAGAATATATTCATTATATGGTGAGGATGTGTAGTGACAATTCCAGTTAGTCTTATATTGTACGTCATCTACATTGCCCCCATAGTCTCTCTCCCTCGACCCCCTAACCCACCCTACTTAAAGCAATTGCAAGAGGTTCTGTTTCATATAGTATATTAAGTCCATCAACCATATACCATCACCTTCATCCCCTTCCTTTCTTTACCCTCCTCCAGACAACTCTTACCAATTGTGTGACCCCCAGGCAAGAAACCTTCCTTTGAAACCTGTCTGTAAGTGGCTCAGAATATATTGACTGTGAGGGTACCTGTGTGGGGCTCATCACATGTTCCATCCAAGTAAGTGCTTGGAAAACACTGGCAGCTGTGACTGTGGTGGGATAATCAGGAGGGCCTTTGTTCTTCCCAGCCTCCAGAGGTGTTGGCAACCCAGAGACCTGAGAGAACTAAGGAGAACCTTCTAGACCTGCTCAGCTTCTGTCCTGCCTTAGCCTGAGATGAGGCCCACTGAACCTGTTGGGGAGCTCGCAGAGAACAAGCCCCTGTTGGAGGAAGGAATGCCTCCCCATTGCACAAGTGATACGGGTTCATTTCTCCTAGAAGAGCAGTGGATTTGAGACAGTGTCTGCTCTTGCTGCGTCCAGACACTGCAGTGGCTTTCCCATGGCAGCTCCCCAGGCCATGTTTCCTATAGGCCGTGCTCCGCTCTACCAGGGCTGCTGGGGCCAGAGCTGTCCAGTATGACTTGTCTGCATGACTCACACCTGCTGGCATTTGGATTCATTTCACCTGTGGAGGTTTGGGGTGAAGCCAGGCCTATCCCTGTCCCCGCCATTCTCCTCTACTTATTGTAATAGATGGGGTATTTAGGGGTTAGACATTTCTTTAACACAACAGAATACAGAAGGTGAGGATGGTAACTCAGTGGCATTTGGGGATTCTTTGATGGACAACATGCACGGAGCCATTTACTGACCATTCACCTGCAGGACGTGGGTCTGAAACAGCTGCTCGTGGCCTGAGGCGTGGCAGGTGTAGTTGCCCATGTGGATGGTGGTCACCTTGGTGATGTACAGGGAGTCATCCTCTCCGAAGTCCTGCAGGGAAAAGGTGACCATAGATTGCTCTCTTGGTTGAGAAGGCTGGGGAGGACAGCTGGTGTCTCCTGGTTTTCCAGGAAAGCAGAACCTGGAGCTATGAGAGAGGTCTTCTGCTTGCCTGCTGCTCAGTCAGGCTGTGGTAGCCTGGGCCTAGGAACACTGCCTTCCCCGGCACCAAGTTTCTGGTCCAGATGCCATAGATTACTTACACCTCGCCGCCCTGACGCTTCCTCCACGAGCAGGGCTGGCCCACCTTCCCCAGCACACTCCCTCCAGCTTTAAATTATGGTGTTTATGGCCTCTCTGCTCATCTTACTGCCGCTTGTTTCCCAGAGATCTTGCCCACCTCGTGCGAAGCTCTGATTAAGGGGTGACGGCCGTGTTTAGAGCTAGAATTGGCAAACTTTCTTAAGGGGCCAGATAGTAAATATTTGGGCCTCGTGGGTGTCGTGGTTTCTGCCAACTACTCAACTCTGCCATGACTGCATGTAAACAGCCATGCCAGCACACAAATGAATGAGTGTGGCTGTGTTTCGTGACATTTTATTCACAGGTGGTGGCTGGATTTGGTCCAGGAGCAGTGTACTTTGCCTACCTGTGGTTTAGATTCCACCCGGATCCCAAAGTGAGTTCAGACAGCTTGCAGGATCTGTGTCACCCAGGGAAGGGAATAAGAATCATGAGGAAAGTGGGACAAACAAAAATCAGTACAGGCCATGAAAGAGCCTGAAGGACAGATACCCGGGGTTCTATAGGAAGTGGCCCAGTGAGCTGTGGCCCCATGGTCTCTGCAGCCTCACAGGATTCATCTAACTGGGCCAGTGCACAGGGGAGGAGTGGGAAGGGCCTTGTGGCTGGGTCAGCATTCCCCGATGAGCACTGAATACCAAGCATCATCCTGGTCAGCTGTGTTCTCTCTTGAAGAACTGTGCACCAGGCTGACCCCTTCCAGGAGCCAACTACAGACAAACTGGGATTGGAACTGCCTCGTAGTCCATGGAGATCCCTCAGCAGGCTTGGATTTAGGTACCAAACATCTGTGAGGATGTGGTGCTTAGAGTAGAGAGGGCCTTGGTTCATGGGTAATAAAAGAGGCGATACAATGCTGCATATATGGAGTGACTGGGGAGCCCAGCAGGTGGGTCTCAAGAGACCCAGGGTTTAACTTGAGTTCTGCCATTGACCAAATGTCTCCTAGCCCCTTTAGGCACTGGTTTCTCCACCTGAAAGTGTGGACAATACATGTGACCTGTGTGCCTGAAGGGGCATTGGGAGATCCAGCAAGAGAATGCACGTGAATGCATTTTCTCATGTGGGAAGCACAACGTACACGGGAGGCTAGTTCTCCTGATATTATTAACAGAAGATGCAAAACCTCTTTTGACCTCTGGAACAAACACCAAACCCTCCCTCTTGTTGCTCCCCTTGTCTTTCTGAGCTTCCTTCTTCCACAGAAGCACTGCGGTGACAGGAGAGGAGGCCATCAACCATCAAGCACAAGGGTTGTGTGTGAGTAGCACAAGGCAACTCTGAGGATCCTTCTTTAGTATGCCCGCCCTGCCCCCTGAAATGACGCCTTCCTAGCTTGCACCCAGAGGGGCCAGCCACGACCATCACAAGTCCCTCTAAAGATGCTTGTGGGGTGATTATCACACTGAGGGGCAGGACACCTGGTAGTGGACATGCCCAGCCTGCTTTCAGCATCAGAAGGAAATGCTCCATAGTGTTCCCAGTGGGGCACCATCCTGGAGAGGCTGCTGGAGAGTGTGAGTTTGCTGTGAAACATCTCTCTGCTTAAGAAAGCCCCATTCCTACTATCCTATGGAAGCCTCGGTAATAAAAATAAAACAGCAGATAGCTGATTTGTCCTGTGTCATAACAGCCATAAACAGTTCAAGCCTGAGTTGCTTGTAAAAAGTTAATGGCTAGTCAATGCTGGGATGACATATTTCTAGTCTAAGCTGTTTCCTGTGTCAAAATCTAAGTCTTGAGGAAAATAGGTTTTGCGTGGAGTCTCAGTGGTAGAGTGGCATCTTAAGAGAGGACTGGGGGCTGGGTACAGCCCCTCCTTGGAGAACTCAGGGAGGGCTTGAAAACTCAACACCCCATATGGACAAGACCCAGGGCAGACTCCATCTGAAAGGACAGAATCTGAGCTGGTGGCAGGAAGGCTGGTGCTGGGCCTCAGCCATCTCCCCTCTATATGGCTTTCCTGAGCCTCACACCCATTGCCCTTTTTCCTGTGAGAGCCCTGGAATCCAATGTCAGGCCCTGGTGCTCACTGCTCTTGTTACCGTCTTGAGGGGGTTGCTGGTCATGTGGATCACAGCATTCGCAAGGTTGAGAAGCACCCTGGGTGAGGCAGCTGCCCAAAGTCAAGGCTCCCATGGATCACCCTGACAGTGATAACCCCTTTGGTACCAGCACACAGCCTTCAAAAATCCACTGCGTGTGGAACCTCAGTTTCCCCATCTGTGGATTCAACCAGCCTCAGGTCAAAAATATTCAGAAAAAAAATTGTGTGCAGAATTTTTCTAGTTCCCCAACAAGTGCAGTCTAACAACTATTTACACAGCATTTACAGTGTGTTAGGAGGTGTGATTTCAAGTACGCAGGAGGGTGTAGGCTACATGCAGACACTACTCCATTTTATACAATACCCATGGATTTTGGTATCCACTGGGGTCCTGGAGCCAATCCCCTATGGACAACTGGACATCGCCTTGTTTAATCCTCAGGGAAACCCCTGAGATCCCAAAGCATAAAGAACAGAAACCCAGTCCCTTTGGTGTGTCAGTAGGATTCTCTTTGAAAATATAATCTGAATCTGATTCTCCTACTGTCCCCACCGTGACTACCCTGATCCAGTCACCTTCTTCTCATCTGGAGGACCACAGAGATCCCATGTCTATCCTTCTACTGTATCTTCTCCACGCACCACCATTATGGGCCTTTTCCAGTACATGTCAAATCGTGCACCATTCCTGCCTAGACCCTGCCTCAGGTCACAGCCTATAGGGACTACAGATCAGTTCCAGCCCCCCCAGAACAACTCCTGTCTCTCTCCATGTGCTGTTGCTTTAATGGGCCACACCTGTCCCCTTCCAGAGCTTTCCACTTGGTGCCTTCTCCTGCCTGATGGCTGTCTGTCTCTGTTTCCTTCAAGTGTTCTCAAATCTCATCTGACCTCCCTGCAATGCTCCCACCTTTCTTGCCCTTTCTCTTCTCGGTGCTCACCAACACTCAGCACAAAGTGCTCTGTGTTTACTCCATGTGCCATCAGTCTCCCCCACTAGGACTGAGCTCCTAATGAGGTGGGGGATTCTTAAGCTCTGTGATCATTGGTGTGTCCTTAGGGCCTAATGCAGTGCTGAGCACACAGTGTGTCCTCAATAAATGTTTATTGAGTAGATAGCAGGGAACTGAGCTTTCTCCAGGGACGGTGTCTGGCTCTGGTTCTTTAGTTTGATAACCAAGGAGCCTACCTCCTTCCCTTCCCATCTAACACTACCCAGTCATGCTGGGTCAAAGCAAGGTAGCTGGCAGAACAGCAGAGGACTGATGTCAATTCTTGCATGCTTCCCCATCCTGTCTCTTCATCCTGCAGCCCTCAGAGGGACTCATGGCTTTTTACATTCCTCAGGTCAGGGGACCTGGGATGGACAGCAGCTCAGGGCAGTAGCCCCAGACTCTGCCACTGACTGTCAGTGTGCATCAACAGAGTCATTTAACCTCTCTGTCTGATTTTCTTGCAAGTGCAAGTGCAAGTTCCCATTTCCTGGAAGCAGAAGCAGCCTCCCGGGTGATCAGTCAGGTTAGGTGGAGTGCCTCAGCCCTGTGAGGACATGAGGGGCTGTGGCTGCATCGTGGCTCATTCTGTTAGCATTGAGCACATTACCAGCCAGTGGTGTAGACTCTGGGGAGAACCTGCCTCTGTAATAAATAAAATAATGTCTCTAGGCCAAAACAATAGGCACTATATAATTATAGAACAAAGAGCACATTGTTTTCTGGATATGAATTCTAGCTACAGAAATCAAATTTACCTAATTGGATGTGAGAGAATTACTTTAAAAAATTGATTTATAAGAAGCTACATAAAACTAAACCTGCAATCCCTCCTCTTCTGAATGTTCTCTGAGATGTGTCTGAATACTGTTATCAGTGCTTGATTGCATCTCTGTAATTGTCTTTTTATGGATAGCTTTTTTTTCCTTTTGCTCAGATGCATAGAAATGTATTAGCAAAATTGAGGTTCCTTCTAGAAATAAACAGATGCCAGATGAAACCATTCTTTGTATTGATACACATCCATTTTGGGGAAAGAGACAGTTTTACTTAAAGACATGGCTTTCATCTTTTAAAAAGCTGTTTTCTAAGTATTTGCCCTTATTAAAGACAGCAATTAAGTGCAACTGACGTATTAAACACTAGTGAAGCAGAGAGGAGGTGGGGGTGCTGTCATAGTGACACATGAGAGTCAGGAATAAGTAATATGAAAATGAGCCACGAGTGCTGATGGTTTAGTGACTCAGCATGAAGCACAAGGACTCCAGAGTGAGTTAGAGTCTAGGTTCACGACAATGTCAATGTTACAAGTCAAGACTCAGCTTAGAAAGATTTATTCAGAGCCCTTCCCAGGGGCACCCCTGGCTGTTTTTGGGGTAGAGAGCATAAGGGGAGTCTCAATCCCACAGGCTCCATTCTGGCCCCTGGAATGTCCCTCACTGTCCTACCTCACCTGCACAAGCAGTTGGACACCATGGCCTTCCTCACTGAATGATATGTGGTGCCTTGGTGGCAGCCAGTCCCCAGGCACATCTGCACTTACATAAGCATGTACATTCACTATCCAAGTGGGGACCCCATGCGTGCATTGGTGAGCACCCAGCATCCACACGGACACATCAGTAGACATGAGTACACATGTGTGCGCACTGCACGCATTCTAGCCTGCTGGCTCTCTACAGCTGACCACCTGACTGACATGGGTCCCT